CTCCCTGACAAAGCCACAATAATTTCTCCTGAAGTTTGTTAAATTGACCAAAATTAGGCAAATGAATAGGGGTCTGTAGGCGCCCCCTCTCGCAGGTGACGGTGCATAATGCTCGCCTGGCCAGCTGCGTTCCCCCTTTTCTTCTCGGCCTCCTCTCCTCTCTTGCCCCCCAATCCTCCCACCACCCCCCTCACCACACACACACACACACACACACACACACACACGCACGCCTGCCAGCCTCTCCTCCCCCACCCCCTGGCATTATTAAAATTTAGCCCAATGAAACTATTCATACTTTTCAATGCACATTTTCGTATAGGATAAGAGGCTACAAATTGAGCCTCTTTCCCCCGTGAAGAGGGGCCGAGGGGGGAGGGAGAAAAGCAAGAGACGTGGTCGGGGAGTAGGGGGGAGCGTCGCGTGCCAAAGACCGAAGGGAGGGGAGATGCGAGACGGGAGCCTCGTGTGCCAGCCGCAGCCCCACACCTGCCGGGATGTCCGGACAAATAAAGCGGCGTAAACAAAAACGGGGGAGATGGACGTGTCACCAAGTCGTGTGAGAAAAGCCTGGGAACAAACGGGGCGCCTCCGTCTCCAAGAGCTCTCCCTTGAACCCAGCGGAACAGCCTATTAAAGGCTTACTTAATTACTTTAATGACTCTGGACAGGCTTTAAAACGCACTCGGCGCTGGGACTGCGGTCTTGCTGGGATTTGTAAACAGGCAATCGTGTGAGTCTCAGCGGTGGGACGAAAGGAGGCGACACTGTTTTGTGAGGGTCTTCGCCCCCCGGAGCCAGCGGCCGCTGCGCCGCTGCGCCCCTGCGCTCTGCGCCTCCGGCTGCTGCAAAGGCTCACTCGCCGCCGTGCCCAGTTTACAGCCTCCTTATCCTGCCCGGGCTGTTGCCATGCAAATGTTATTCCCCGCCGATCACGTGTCCTTTTAAGGGCCACGTGGATTAACAAAGCTGATCTGGCCCCCGGCTCGCCCCCCTTGGCTGCTAAATTTTTTTCCTTAACTTCTTTAAAGCTGATCTTGAATGCATACATCCCCCGAACGCAGCTCCCTAATCCTATGGAATAATTCAACTCGTGAATGCACTTGGAGCCCAAGATGAGCGCTTTATAAGGCAGACCCTCAGAGCCGGGAGGCTGCAGTCCACCTGGGGCACTAAAAGAGGCACACGAGGTGGAGAGCCCACGGGTGCCTCACGCCACCGCCTCTCTCGGGGGCGCGTTCTGACCAGGATGTCAGACAAGCTCAAGGAACGCAAAGTGAGTCGGCTGAGGCCAGACGGCTCTTGCGCCCTGTTGGTGGGGGCGGCTGACTCTTGAGAGGCCACCTGGCTGCGCCTACCGCAGGAACGTGGCCACGGGTGACTTCTCCTCTATAGAAATCCTGAGTGGTTTGATAGAAATCCTGAGTGGTTTGAGAAGGGAATGAAGATAGAGAGAGGCGACTCCTGAACTGGGGAGTAGTCCGCGTCTAGTGGCCACCTCCCCACTGCCCTGGCGCTCAGCTTGGCTGCGTAGACCCGCGGGAAGGGAGGCTGGAAGGGGAGCGCGCCAGCGCCAGAGTGAGAGGGCAGAGCTCGTCTGATCCAAACGTGGAGGGGCAGGGCCTTCTTCCAGGAGCAAGTCCGTGGGCAGCTTTGGGGGCTGGGAAGACGGTGGGCAGGCAGCTACATCCGGGCCTTTGTGGACTCCCTGCGCAAAGCTATCCGGAATTCGCAAACTTCTGTTCGCAGAGAACCCGTGTTTCCCACAAAGTGATAGAAAAGAGAAGAAGGGACCGGATTAACCGCTGTTTGAACGAGCTGGGCAAGACAGTGCCCATGGCCCTGGCAAAGCAGGTAACGTCGGCGCCAGATAGGGTACTAGGCGCTGGGGATCCTCTGCTGCCACTCTGTCCAGATGTCAGGAGATTGGGGGCCGAGAGGCCTTTACACGTGAGCCTCCTCCCCCGGGGACCTGAGCGCTGAGTGAGCCCCAGGAGGCCCTCGCGCACATCCACAGCAGCGCTCTGCTCCCTAGTCCTCTCCAGATAGAACCCTGCACCCATCCTGCGGGGTCGGCCTGCGCCCGCTGGGCAGCTCCGAGGAACCCTTCTCCCTTTGCAGAGTTCCGGGAAGCTGGAGAAGGCGGAGATCCTGGAGATGACCGTTCAGTACCTGAGAGCGCTGCACTCCGCTGATTTTCCCCGGGGAAGGGAAAAAGGTGGGCGCCAGCTGGGCAAAGGGAATTCTGGGCATACAGCGTTCGTCACTCAGAGATCTGGGGGTGGCAGTAGGAGTGAAGGGGCGCGCGCGAGAGGTCTCTCTGCACACTGCCACACTGCCGGAGTAGGTCCGGGTGGGGATCCTGCTGGGGGAAGGGCCGCGGGGGGGGGGAGGTGGCTGGAGAAGGTGTTTCTGAGCGTAGGTTCCGTTGCCTCCTCTCAGGTGGGGAGGGGTAGAGTCAGGCTCTTAAGAAAAGGAGGTCACTTATTTGCGATTTTTCTAGTTTCCGGTCTGGGGAGAGGGGAGTGGAGCTTTGGCCAGAAAGTGTATTGGGAGGTGGTGGCACCTCCCTCCGGCTCCCGGTGGGAAAGGGGCTGCTCAGGTGTTTGTTTGTTTGTTTTTCTTTCTTTCTATGATTTTGCTCGCCCACCCAGCAGAATTGTTAGCAGAGTTTGCCAACTACTTCCACTACGGCTACCACGAGTGCATGAAGAACCTGGTGCACTACCTCACCACAGTGGAGCGGATGGAGACCAAAGACACCAAGTACGCGCGCATCCTGGCCTTCTTGCAATCCAAGGCCTGCTTGGGCGCCGAGCCCGCCTTCCAGCCCCTGGGGTCATTCCCGGAGCCAGATTTCTCCTATGCGCTGCACCCAGCGGGGCCCGAGTTCGGGGGCCACAGCACCGGTGAGGCCTCGGTGCTCCCGCAGGGTGCGGCCACCGGGCCCTTCCCCTGGCCGCAGGGCACGGTCCGCAGCCCGGGGCTGCCGTACCTGCCCAGCACGCCCTTGTCGCTCCCGAGCCCCACGCAGCAGCGCAGCTCCTTCCTAGGGCCAGTGCAGGGCCTGGACCGCCACTGTCTCAATCTGATTGGCCACACCCACCCCTCCGGTCTCAACCTTAACGCGCCCCAGCACCCGCAGGTGCTCTGACTGCTGCCCGCCCGCCAGATTGCTCTGGGCCTCGGGCCCTGCTTAGGAGAGACACTGTATATTGTACAGGTGTAAATACTGTGCCACAAACAGCTGGGTCTGGGAAGGCCAAGAGCACATTGGTCTTCTGAAGGACCTCCTCCTGGCAATAAATGTTTTCTGTTAAAGAGCCTGAAGGATGGGTTTCTTTGTCACCTTCGGCTCCTCTACAACATGTCCCCTTGGTGCTGCCAATGGCCCCAGGCTCACAAGGGCCAAGGTGATTTGGGGAGGGGAGGCTAAACGGAGGCGTCCTTGGGGACAGAATTTCGAGGCTCCCCCAGGCTGTAGACCCTCATCTGCCCAAATGCATCTTGGGCGTTTGCCTCGTGGAAGGGCAGAGTGACCTGGATATTGGCTCTCAGAAAACGGGTCCCAGTCCAAGGACCTGTCCCCAGATGACTTTCTCAGACTTCCGCTCCAGCAGGGCGCCCTTCCTAACCCCACAAGGCCCCAGGATGCCAGCGCATGCCTGCTGGTCTGGAGCACAGCTACACTCAGGCCTGCAGGACGCGGGATCAGGTTTAGAGCCTTAAAGAGTCTCTTAAAAAAATATATATATATATATATATATATAATATATGAAGAACTTTTAAGTTGTGGCTTAAAGACACCTGACAAAAAAATTTTTTTAAATCTTTGGATGACAACTACCCGTCGCTGCCCCCGCGGGTTTCGGGAAACTGGCTTTGCCTTGTACGCGCAGAGCAGCTCGGCTTCAGGGGAGATGGGCGTCGGGGGGAGGCCAGCGCCCATGGGTCAGGAGAGGAGCTGTCCCAAGGGACTGTTCCCTCTGTGGTCCCCACTGACTCGGGGCCCAGAGCCTGGGTGGCTTCCAGGTCCAGGCTCTCAGGCCTGCTAAGAGAAGGCTTCCCCTCTCTCCCTCCCCCTGGGGTGGGGTGGGGGGGCAGGAAGGTGAGGGGATTTTAACCTTCTCACTCCACCCAGAGCCTAGGTAAGTTGGGTCTCAGGAGACTTGGTTAGGACCTTTAAGGGCTTATGGTTTCAGTTCCAGTTGGATCTAGATCTAACCCACAACACAGCACTATGTTTGAAAGAGGGAATGCAAACCAGGTTTCTCCAAGACACAAACAGCAAAATACGCCCCACTGTTGCCCTATGTAAACAGGTAACATTTGACAATGTTACCCGACCAGCTCAAGTCGTGTGACTGAGAATTTGGCTTTTTTCCTTCACTGTTTTTTTTATTCCCATCCTTCCTTGCTCCTATTAGCTTTGATGCCCATTAGATAAATGACTCAAAACCACGTGGCAGGCTTTCCTGTTTCCCGAGGCCAGTTAGCTCAGCGATGATGACTTGTCTTCGCCCAGAGTAGCTGAAGGACAATAAATTAACTTATTCCGTTTCTGTGGACAGGGTTTAAGGGAGCTCTGACCCCGACTGTTTACTGAGGTCATGGAATAGGATGACCTGCGATTTGTAACCCATCAAACCTGAATACAGAGACAGGACAAAACAAAACACCACATTACGCTGCCCACAAAGTCAGACTTTGTGTGTTTGGGGGGGCAGGCAGGTTATGTTTCCATAAACTTCAGAAAAGGTCTTAAAAGTGACTAGTTCTTGTCCTTACACATACCACATGTCACTACACTACTTATCCAAAAAATGGGATATGCAAACAGATATCCCCTCCCGTAGGATCTGATGCAGTCGGAGCAGGACAGGGAGTGCCAGGCCAGGAGGCTTCTGGGTAGCAAACGCGCACTGAGCGACTGGGGATGGGAGCAAGTTCTGCGGAACGGGGTGGCGGGGGCGGGGGGGATGCTCGGTACCTCTTCTCGGGACACACGTCTTACACCGTGTCTGCCGGCTCTGGGTGCGGAATATGAAGAAGGCCTTTCAGGCCTTTCTTCCTCTGAGCTCTAAGCCAGTCTGAGTTCCCTCCGGCAGTGAAGCATTAAAGATACGGTGTTACCCTGGAAATATAAATTATTAATATATTCAGCATTTTTGTCACTTCTCAACTGTTAACCAAATTAGACAAAACTTTCTTTTGCTAAGTAGATTTTCTCTTTGGGATTAGCCCTGGAAATGCACAGGGCCACCGCAGTAAAAACTTCGGTCATTTACATGTAATTCTGCAAACTTCCACTGGCCCATGACAGTCTTTGTACCGCAAATGTTGGTATTCTTGATTTTTTTCTTCCTCGTTTAACTGTGGAGGATAAAACCCTGCTTCAGGCTTACAATGACTTTCGGATAAAAGTCTCGCTCCCCTTTCTTTCTCTCCCCCTTTCTCTGTGTGTGTGTGTGTGTGTGTGTGTGAGTGTGTGTATTCTTTCTCTGAAACCTTCATCCCAAGTTCCAATTCTCCAGGCTTGGCCAAAAGTCAAACTTGAAGTAGTTTGACTTTGCAAAAGACTTAAAATGTCACTACAAAATGGAATCGGTTCAAATCAGATGGTGACTTTAATGTGTTCTTCTGGCACTTTCTCTGACAACACATTGCTTCCAGCCTCCCTCGCCCAAACCCCCCAGTTCCTCCCCCGCCCTCTGACTCTCTTAGACCCAATCCCTCCAGTCTTTCTTTTAAGTAAGTTATATAGTAATGGTTTCCGAGAGAGGCTCAACCAAACCCAGAAATAACAAAAAACAAAACCCAGTGGGTTTGGCTGGAGGTGACCCATTGTGATGCCTCTGAAAGGGGCCACCTCTTGTTTCTTAGGCTTCATCCTTGAGTGGGCAAGAATAAAAATAATCATCCCGTGAAATCAAAGGTTTTCTCCAGAGGCTTGAGGAACAAAGCTGGTGGCTGGTACTTTGGGTCAGTCCCCGTGGCTCCGCAGGGCTAGAAGGAGGCGCTTCCAGGCACTCCGGGCGCCCCTGCCGAAGGGCGGTGATACAGAGCTCACTTGTGCTTCCGAGCCTTATTGAGCAGACATAGCCTGCGTATCAGTGGGGCCTCCAGTTTAGACTCCAGACCCCGGGCAAGGAAGGTGGAGGAGCAGCTACCCAAGTGCCTAACTGGCCCCACAGAAGTACGGATTCCCGGAAATCTTGGGACGGGCGTCTGCACAGAGGAACATACTGAGAAAAGGAGGGCACCTTGGGGCATGAAGTAGAAGCCCAATAATTGTGGAACGACTGGACGAACTGCCGAAGAGTGCAGAGTCTCTTAGGATTCTAAATCTCGCCTGGACCTCTTGTTTCTGGCCCTCAGTCCCCTCCCCACTTCAGCAGGAACTGGGAAGTACTTGTACAGCCCCCCGACGTCTGTTGAGTAACCTACACACACTGGGGAACTGTCAGAGGGCGCAGTGACCCTGCCTTTCCCGAAAACACCTACCTGTGGTGGGACAGTAGGAGGCAACACCTGGCCTGCGGGGTTAATTCAAGGTGGTTAACTGTAGGCCCAGCTAACGGTGGACCTCCAAATCCAGGACCCCTTCTCTTAGACTAGTCCTGAATTTAAACTCCCATCCCTTCACATGAGAAAGGTCCGAGACTGGGACGATTTCACCTTCTTTTCTGCCTCATTAGTTGTTCAGTGTGGCTTGTGGAACCAGCCCACCTGGATTTGTGTTCCAGCTCAGCTGCTGCTAGCTGTGTGCCTTTGGGCAAATGGTGAAGCCTCTAAGAGTCTGAGGATCGAGTGAACTGGTACAGTCAAAGCACTGTAGACAGTGCCTGATCCGTAGTGGGTGCTCGATTCATTAGCTATTGTAATGATCTATTCCTTTCTCCCTTCTCCCGAAGAATCAGATCCTTGTAGCTGCCTCAAACTAAAAAACAAAATGCAAAGGCAAATCACGAAAAAAAAGTTAAACCTCAGGAATTCTTAAACCACAAGGTGTGTTCTGGAACTAGTCAATATTCTTCCTTTAGGGCAGGTGGGAGCCAAGAGCTCTAATTTCACCCCATGGTCAGGTGGGCTCTGTGTTACCACCAGAGGCAGCTGCAGTGCCTGCGTTGAGCCTAGCAAAGGTATGACTGGTGATAACTGGCAATGCTCTCTCTCCACCCTCTCACACACAGAAATCTGGCCTCATGTTATTTTGCAACAGCTCATGCACCTGCACTCCAAGTCCTCTCTCCAGGTACATGTTCTAATGCCTGTTCACACATAAATCTTGGCCACTGCAAAATCTTACTGAAACATGGAGTAAATAAACTAATTCAATATTCCTTCAGTACAGTCTCTATGGCAGCTTTATGCTCTCTTCTCAGCCTTCTCCTCATCTTTTTCCCCACTCAAGTCCTTTATCTAGCCCACTCATTGGCGGTGGGCTCCACTCCTGGCTCCAGGCCCAAGCCCTGGTGTAGGTCAAAGCTCAGCCGAGACACCCAGCTCTGGAGCCTGTCCCTAAGTCTCACTCCTGCACTCATGTGGCCTGCAGTTCTCATTCTCCCTCATTTTCTGATGGCTTCGCTCCAGGTGCCTGATCCTCCAGGTTCCTAGGGCCTGGGGTATGAGTTTATCTGTGTGTGTGCCTGGGTCCCCTGTGGACAAAGACTTCTGGAGTAACAACTCCCAACATCTCTCAGCAGTCCTCCCATAGCCTTCAGCTACCTCACTGGAGAGTTTGGGAGGCAGACCCAGGCACGCGCACCTCAGCCCCATCCTCTCTGGGTGCCAGCCTGCCCACAGGAAGCAAGCATTCCCTACGAGGCTGGTAGGAAGATTTCTTGCTCTTCTGTGCTTTTCATGGGTAAGTTTAATCCAATGTAAAGTGCTGCAAGCTTACTCTCTCTGCATATTGAAGTCACGTCCTCCAATCAGTCACAAAATAGACATTTTTATCTCCATCTTACACCTACATCTCATTCGTTCTAAGCACAGATAGGAGAACACTGGCTGCACATGTCAAATACCGCAGAGCCCCGGACCCCGGGCACCTGCATGTATGCACCTGGGAAGGAAGGCATAGGCGTATGCCTGCCTGCATCAGACGGTGCAGGCCCAGGAGTGCCCTCACATGTGTGTGTACAGGACATGTGCTAGCGTACACATGTGTGCACATTGGTGGACAAACTGAGGCTGAGGAAAGGGCCACTCACCACCCACTTGAAAGAATCGCTAGGTTAGAGCTGGCAAGACCCAACTCTTTCTGGTCACTTGGAAGATAAGCAGCAATCACTATGGAGGTTTGCAATTCTGTCTCATTGTAATCTTTGGCGAACCCTCCACATGGCAGGAAGCACTGAAGCAAAGCATTAGAGAGGCAGTAGAAGTGCTATGTGCTGAATGGGGCCATGGGAGAGAGCAGGAAAGGGACCAAAGCCACAGAGGAGGGTGGTGGGAAACTTGGAGCAGGAACTGGAGGCTGAGCTATAAAGAGAGGGTGCAAATAAAAAGAACCTCATGAGAAAGGGGAACCTGGGCAGCTTTTGCTCTCTCAGTCCCCAACCAGCCTCAATTATTATGTGTAGCTTCAAGGCAAGGGTCAACACATGAAGTATTGGGTTGGCCAAAAAGTTTGGGTTTTTTTCCCCCATAAGATGGCTGTAGTAGCACTTACTTATCTTTAACTTCATTCAAAGCAATTTTGTTAGATTGTATTTTAACAGCTGTCACATCAGGGTGCATTGAAAAAAAATTATCAAAATGAATTTTTATGTAGCTATTTTAGTATTGAAGATGGAAGAAAATAAGCAACATTTTTAGCATAATACGCTTTATTATTTCAAGAAGGGTAAAAATGCAACTGAAATGCAAATTAAAAAAAAAGATTTGTGCAGAGTATGGAGAAGGTGCTGTGACTGATGGAATGTGTCAAAAGTGGTCTGTGAAGTTTCCTGCTGGAGATTTCTCGCTGGATGATGCTCCACGGTCAGGTAGACCAGCTGAGGTTGATAGTGATTAAATCAAGACACCAATTTAGAACAATCGAGGTTATACCATGGAGGAGATAGCTGATATACTGAAATATCCAAACCAATAAAATTATTAGTGAAAATGAAAAGTGTCTTTTATTTTATGGAAAAAGCCATACGGACTTTTTGGCCAACCAATATATTAGTTAAAGCTTTATGAATCTAATGAAACTTTCTCACTACCGCATTTCTGGGAGACCTGGAGCTGCCTTATTAGAACTGGATAATAATTACCCTGACCCTGACCCCTAGGCTGACGATGGCCAAGCACGTGTGGTGAGCAGATGCTGCAGAGGACGGCATTTCACTGCTGTGTCATCGATTTCATAAGGAAGAAGTCGAGCTAAGAATTTCTCAGAATATAATTGAAAGTCAAAAGGTAATTTCTGAAAGCAGGGTTGTGTTACCTGTTTCCTTGGTATAAAAGGGACATTTATCAGCGAGACAACATTTTCAAATATTTTCAATTATGTATTACAGAAAGAGGTACCATGAGAGCTAAACACTCTTTGGATTGGATGATGGAGTTTAGGAAACAGTAATGCGACTAAAGCATCAAATGACTCTCTGTGAGGACAGTCCTGTAGGTGATAACCAAGTGATGTAGGTAAAGAGAATATATGATGAATTTATGTGGCACCTGGTGGAGGTTTGGGTCATACTTTGACAGGACATGGTTAACCTCGTCAGTCATGAAGGAGGACTGGGCTGAGTTTAACAGCTGATCTGCATTCTGGGGAGCAAAGGTGGCCACTACTATCAAGCCTCTTAAAAGCCCTCTGCAGGGTCTTCCAGTCACTCTGGAGCTGTAGAAAAAGTTATTGGACAAACTCCTCCTCCCCAAATCAATATATCAAAACATAAATGTCTCTTCCCCCTCCCTCCTTCTTTCTCTGCCTGCCCCACTCCTGCCTTGATCCCTAGCTTTTTTCCCCCCATATAGAGTAGGATCCAGTTACTCTGAAGGATTATTCTGAGTCCCTTTAAGGGAGGCAAATCCATCCCATTGCCAATGAAAGGCAACAACTCCGACCTTACTTCCAGATCTAGCCTCCCTCCAGGTAGACTCACACCCTCACCCCTTCATTCACCACTATCCCTT